ACTCAGAACAAGTACCAACAGAACGATGTGTAAAACATATTACTGTACGAGTAAATATTCTCTATTCAAAAACAGAGTTAGTTAAAAGTACGTTAGTATCGAACATCTTAGACCTCTGACTGATATAATGATATATAGTTATATAAATCATATACAAATGCTTGATTAGTCCATGGTTTCCAAGCAAATAAATCTGGAGGGTCTTGAGATCATAAATGAGAAAGAATTGTATCATAATGTGCTCAAACACGCTGACACAGTGAGCACATATGTCTTAATTAGAGTGGCACAGTCTGTTCTGTACTACTTTACAAACGTTAATGATCCTTCGGATAAGTAAGAGTAGTTAACAACATGTAGAATAGTTGTGGTATCTGTAATACTTCGATACATTAGGAAAAAAATTAAATAAACATATTGTAAGTGGATGCAAGAAGCGAAGTTTGGCTTCTCCACCTCAACACATAATAAAACAGAGAGAAAAAAGAGATGTACGATTAGCTGGCTTATTCTGCCATCTATTGGCCAAAGGCTGATACAGAATAAGGCAGTGGCAATTCTAGACCAATTTGGCTGGGGGGGGGCCAGGCTGGGGCCAGTTATTTTCTGAGGGGGGCACAATAAATGCAGGACGAAAAAGACAAAGACAGAATGAAGTAATTGCGCATAAAAAAACAATGCAATACAGTTATTGGTATTTGTTTCATTACACATATTTATTTCAGATACTTATAGTTACAGTTGTTACGCTCTAGGATGAGAGCTACTTTTTTTTGTTTTTTGCAATGTATATATTTAGCACATTTTAACATCATTACATGCTTACCTTTAACCTTTGTGTGCTGTTTGGGTCTGTGGGACCCGTTTTCAGTGTTTACTAAAATAAAATGTATGCAATTTAATTATTTGAACCTGCTTTTTTTGGGGGTGGACCTCACATTCTCTAGGGGGGTCCGGGAAGATGTTTTTTTAAATGTTGAAGTGAAATGCATCAATCTGGTGCACTTTGAGCACAACATGAATTTATGGATACAGCTCTCAACACTCAGATGGAAGGGAGCTGTATACTTTTCAATAATCCAAACATCTTTAGAATATGATCACAACCAATAACAAATCATTTAAACTGGTTTATTCTTATCTTATGTTACCTAGTCACACATAAACGACTATGAACACATAGACTATGTGACTATAACTATAATATTTAACACAACACACATTAGTCCCTTGCGTATCATGACAGAACATTTAGGCCGGCAGAGCAATTCAGCCAGACATGTCAAGATAGGACCGTAAACCTGTACTGCCTTGGGGTGAGCAGAGCTCGGGTACCGCTGTTACCAACTGGCTTCTGTAATTAAGCTATTTAGCTAAAGTGTGCATTTATAAAACTCACATTTCCATGAACACACACACGTGTCCACAACACACAAAATAAGCAAGAGATTCTCTGTCCGGCTGAGTGCGCAATTCACATGAAAAGGGCGGGGTTGACCAATCACAAACATGGAGAAGCGTACTGACAGCACAGGGTCATACTTCCTGAATGAAAAGTAAACTATCACGTTAGACAAATAGAAGTTAAACTTTAAACATCCATGACTTGAACAGATAAACCGGGATACAAGCCACATGCAAGGTGAATACAGAACAGCTGGCAAAAAAAAAAAATAAACTACAGAGTGTTTGAATGCGTACATTAACAGTTTATGATATCACTGCCCCGTCTAATACATGAGTGGATCTGACTTTAATTGCATTTGACTCGAGTGTTTCTTCAACTTAACGTGTTGCTTAAAATAATACTTTGGCATACAGTATGTGACATTGTGAGTGTTGCACGGCCAGATACGGCTCGAGAAGCTGACTCAGATAAGGAAATATATGATATATTATGATATTATATGATCGATGATGTGATATGAATGATAAGTGCGACACGTCGGTGTCTTCCCTGCATACGGCAGCTTAAACTGTATTTCCTTTATCCTGTAATATGACTTGATAGCTTTAAACTCCGCACACTGAGCTCTGATTGGTCAGCAGTGCTTTCACTGAGTTGATCTCTTATCTGGAACTTAACCTGCTCCGGAGCAGGTTTGGTGTTCAGCATCAGTTACTATGGAGATCTAGCCCGGTAAGAAGTGAACCAGCGTCGTAGGACCGGAAACCCAGAGTTAACCCTGAAGTTACCTCACTAATCGAAAATCCTGCTTCGTAGTACAGGCCACAGGTCAGTACCTCCAGGTCTGGCACTACCATGATCTGCTGAACTATACCATTAAACGTTTTCTATGGCCTATATTTTTTAATGTATTTAAATTGATTTTAGACTGTTTAATTACCTCGATACATCCTATTATTCCTAAGCTTATCTACTTTACATGTTGTAAATAATGGTTGAGACATCAGTAAATGAAATAAAGAATGTATTTAACAATTACTATTTTAATTCAATTTTTCATTTTCATCTAAGAAGTAGAGGTTAGAATAAATCCATCATCTCTCTTCAGCTTCATGTATTCTATTATGAGCAACATTGAATACTTTCATAACTAAGACAGAGGAAAGCAATCATGTCATTTAATAACAATAATAATAACAGCAGCAAAACAAATTTCAGCAAAATTGTGTTTATCAAGTTATGTATTTGTATTATGTGTGCAACAAGTATAGAGAAGCAGCAGGTTGGTATTACACATCTTGGGGATTTAGAGAGTTTCAAGCAATTCTTATAAATATCTATAAGAAATGGACACAAGTAAATCAAATTCTGAACCTAAGACACAAAATAGAGCAAGATAAAATATAGGGGTAAAATATAAACAAACACAATTTAGATTAAATAATATAAGTGTCTAGACAGTATTGCAAAGGAATAAACTGTTGACAGCAATGTAATAAGTACTGTTCATCATGCATAATGAGAAGTAGTGCGATCAATGTTACATACAGATGTGATCTGTGTGTAAAATTGAAGTAAAAGTATAATGTATAAAGCGACAACAGTGATGAGCTCTGGAGTTCTATACTCATGTCTGAAGGATGAATCTGTTCAGCTGGAAAGCAGAACTTTGGGTGGATGATGTGTCCAGGTCCTGTGTGGATGGTAGCCCTGTCCTGCTGATTTGCAGTGCAGGTTTTAGATTAGAATCAAATGTATACTTGAAAAAAAATTCGCACCCTTTTTTTTGGTTTGGCAAGACAGTCACCTTCCCCAGCAGATCAATTTCTCTAGAATTGCTCTAGTCACAGAAAAAACAACAGAAAAATAAAAAAGTATTAATGATATAAAACACAGGGTTGCTAAATGTAACTCAGCAACACAGACAAAACATATTGTGATGTTTTGGATTTAAAAAACAAAAGAAAAGTACAGTCACAGCGTGCATCCCTTTGTACCTACTGTCCATTGCTGATTATTGGCTTCCTTAATATTTAAACAGTATTAAAGAAGAGTATTTTCAGTAACTTATAGAAGTGGTGTTTAATTAGGGCTGGCTATATGCTCTTCCTCCTTTTTCACCTCTCTTCACTTGCAGTTCTCCTCTCTCCACATTCCTATTTAAGATGTCCTTCGCTGATTAAAAACAGTATCCTCTCATTTTTGGAGACGTGGCAACGTTAGAAGAGAGACAACTAAATACAAACATCATGGAAAAGAGACAGAAGGTTTTTATTATGAGTAGAACAGTTTGTTATTGTTCCTGAATTACTATAGTGTTATAAAGCTGTTACTGGTACTGGATGTGCATTTTCTAAATTGTGTCATTTCTAGTTTTTAGCAATTTTGTATGCATGCTTGTGATATTAAGCTGTCTTTGGCTCTTTGCTGTAACAATTGTACATTTCCCCTCTGTGGGATCTATAAAGGTACTCTGATTCTGAAAACAATAACAGTCTTCCCCAGCCAAGAGTTGGGGGTATTGTTGTCACGATACCAACATTTTTGTTTCGATACCAATACCAAGTCAAGAATTGCGATTTCAATACTTTTTCGATACTTTTCTTAAAAAGGGGAAACGGTCTTAAATGTCATTATTGTGCTTTATTTCAAACCTGGATTTTTTTTTCAGTCATAACACAAACTTTTGAACATTGAGAACAGTAAATCAAATAAATTAAAGCAATGGCATTCAAGGTAAAATGACAAGTGTTATGATATTAAGGTCATGCCGAGTCAGGTCGCTATCCCTTTAAGAGAGAGAGAGAGGAGTGTGGCGCGTGCATGTGTGTGTGTGCATGGTAGAGCGAGCGAGCAGTGGTCTGTGTTTTGAAGCGAACGAAGCAGCAGCAAAATAGGTCTGTTGTGTGTCTTCAAAGTAAGATCTGTAACAAAGACCTTAATAAATGCAGCGGCCTCCCAAAGAAGAGCTTGCCTGTCTGCCTTATTGAAAAGTGTGTTATTGAACCCAAAGTTTGTTGCTTCGGCCCTGGAAGACTGCAGTCTCAGGGGATGACCCCTGATACTAATGAAATGGAGGAATCGTAACGTTTTTAACAGCAGGGTATCGCGATACCTTTCTAGTATCGGTGCACCGTGCAACACTAGTTCAGGCTGAGTCTGTTTAGCATTAAGGCTCTATGTCTTCCCATTGGCTTATCCTGTAAGATTAAAAAAGAAAGTTTATGTCTTAAAGAATATTCCAAACTTTATGAATATACAAATAAATAACCCTTTAATTGAGTTTTTCTTCACAGAAACGAATGATAAACCGAGATATAGGAAAACTGTATTCATATATCTCAGTTTATCATTAGGACAAAATCAATACGTTTAATACATTATTTAAATCCAATAACAATTGATTTAAAGAAAGGCTGAGCAATCTAGATTGATGTAATAATAATATGTTTCTGTTGCTAAACTCAAACTCTTGCAGTACAACAGATCTGGACCTTTGGTTGAATCATAATAAGCCGGGAGTCGAAGTATCTGGAGGCCGACCCATTTCTTCCGTTTTTGGTGAGAAAAAGAAAAAAGAGATTTTAATTAATCAGATCAACAATATTTCACCCTATGTTTTCTTGTTCTGCTGTTACAGCTATATTAGTAGGTTGATGTAACTGCTGTTTTCCAGTTTTGGAGAGTATAGCATTATTTCCCACTTACATTAACATTGGTAAAGCTTGTTGACACGGAAAATGTCATTCTTGCTCATCGTACGACCAGTCCCAAAGTTAAAACTCGGATTGCTCTTAGCGAGGATGGTTGGTTGCCTGCTTTTGCTGAAGGCGTATCTTCAGGATCAAAAGAAGACAACATATTTGGCATACAGAGCTGCACAAACACATCACAAGCACACAGACACTTGCTTCTGACTCACAAATGATGTTGTAATGTGGACTTGTTTGTTAGGTATTTTAGTTAACCTAATACAAGGTTCTTACAGCAATAGGCAAGTTAGATTTAAGACTTAAAACTGATTTAATGCAATATTGGATGGAATTCAACTTCACTTTACCCAAACTTGAAGAAATCAATGATCATTCAATGTTTGATATTGAATGCAGGGCTAAACCTAGAATGGCAACTTTTACTAAAGTGAAACATCTTAGTACATGTAGTCCCTCGACTGACATCACATTTGAACATACATACAGATGCCCTCACACTCTCACTTTCCGTAGTGCATGACAGAGTTGAAGTCGTAGGAAGTACCCAAGTTGTTGGTTCGCCGCTTCACAAAGTTATGTTCTTGTCCTGCAGGAGGAGAGAACAAGAGAGCAATAATTAAGAACAGTGTTTACATTATTGCCTATTACATTACAGTGGATTGAAAATGTGAAAACAAAACTTGCTTAAAGGCATGCTGGTAGACAGCCAACAACCTTAATCCATTAGTAACTATTGGATGGATTTGATATGGACATTCATGGTGCACACAGGATGACTCCAATGACTTTTCCTTTACCTCCACCTAGACGAACGTTTTCAGTTATCCATTAAAATATCTCAACATCTATAAGATGGCTTTGCACAAAATTCCCAGATAATTTATTCTAATTATTTATGGTGATCTTCTTACTTTCCCTAGGGCCATCATCAGATACAAATCCAAATGTGTCCAATAACTATCTCTGCAGAGCTAACACCTTTCCCAGCCTCAGATTTTCTTTGTGTCGACATGTAATTATCAGATGTTATCATGTTAAAACACCAAACACAAGAAAGGGCCTTTTTCAAGTGGGATGGAGGATGTACAAACTGGGAAATGGGAAAGACCTAGCAGAGCTGCTATCAAGGCAATGACTTTGATGTTGGTGGCTTTTCAGACATAAGGCATGAACTTAAACTCACCTCTCTGTCGCATAATTTTTTCATACAACACATACTGTACAATCAGGACTGTGAATAAGAGCGTTTGTGTGTGAGCTGACCTGGCTTAGTGTTCTGGGAGAGGATGGAGACGTATCGGTCTCTGTCGGAACGGACTTGCTCGTGCTGGAAGCCCAGAGCGTGGAGAACCTCGTGCTGCACTGTGTCTGTGTACAAACAACCATTTTTCTTCAGGGAGACAAGCTGTCCTCTACTCTGTCACAGACATTTTAAAGTTAAAATAATATTATTACAGTGGAGGAAATAATGATTTGATCCCTTGCAGATTTGTAAGTTTGCCCACTTACAAATAAATGAACAGTCTATAATTGTAATGGTATGTTGATTTTAACGGTGAGAGTAAGAATATCAAAAAGAAAAATCCAGAAATTGACATTATATAAAAGATGAAAAATGTATTTGCATTTAACTGTGTATACAGGTAACAAGTTGATATTAGGAGTTATTTTTTAAAGGAACAGAACTTATGTTACCCGTCTGTGGGAGCCAGAATACTTGTTTGTTGCCAGGGGATCAACACTTATTTCCCAGTTAAATGCAAATACATTTTTATCTTTTATATGATTTTCTTTTTGATATTCTTACTTTCACTGAAAACTGACTGTTCATTTCTTTGTAAGTGGGTAAACGTACAAAATTGGCAAGGGATCAAATCATTATTTCCTCCACTCTATGTAAACAGAAACTCAAGGAAGGACAACACCTACCAGAAACTTGTTCACCAGGAAACAAATTCTTGTATCTCATGGAAAAAACATAACAATGTCGGTGAAGTTCGACTTCTTTGTTTGGAAATGAAAGTTCAACCTCCTCCCAGAAGCTCTGGAGAATGTGGCGCGTTCGCATGCTGATTGGCAGCACATACAGTATGTGATGTCAGAATGGACCAAATAAGAGCTGTAGTTCCCAACCTACTGTAGGCTCAACAAAGTTTTACGGGGGGCTGCATGGCATTTTTCAAGTAAAAGGGTGCGAGACCATTTTTAAAAACAAAAATCCTTATCACAGATAGGTATCTAATGTAGCAAGAATGAATGCCATTACGAATAAAGAAACCCAAATAACACAATTACACAAGTCTCCTTTCACTGCAGCCACAGCTGGGCCACATCCATCGTTCCGGCAGAAGCTTCAATATTTACTTGAAAAAAAGACAAGAAAATATTAAAAGAATGAAGTCACTTTAGCCTATACTCAGCAATATGTTTGATTATTAGTACACAAATCCATCTTTCTTTCCTCAAGAAGAGTTCAATGACTCTGTTACAGTTCAAATTATAAGTCCTGTTACATTACATTACATTACATGTTACGTGTTAGACGCTTTTATCCAAAGCGACTTACATACTCAATACTGTGGGCAATCCCCACAGGAGCAATTTGGGGTGAAGTGTCTTGTCCAGGGATACAACGACATGCTGATTGCAGTGGGGTTTGAACCTGTGACCATCTGATCCACCATACCAAGGCTCTATCCACTGCGCCACACGCCTCCATTCTGTTCTATTGCTGTGGAGGCTAATGCGGAAAGACGAGTCTGTCCAGTAGTATTTCTGGCAAACACCATTGTTGAGCTCCGTCTCCCTGCGTACTTCGTTAAGCTGTAGATCCACTCGGGTTTCCCCAAAAGTTTCAAATGCACCGTTGCTTGTAAGTGTCCAGGCATGCTATGGTGTTTCGCCGCTGCCTTGGTTAGACAACTCAAGTTTACAAACCCTCTATGGCACAAACACCACGTTTTTCAGTATCAAATATCAGGCATTCCCAGCAATACAATGTGTGGTAGTCCTCGGTGGCTGTGAGCCAAGGGTAAAGCTCGTAGTTAATGAACTGAAAGTGGCGAACAAACCCTTTCCCCGGCTGCGACAGGCTTGCAAGCTTCTACAAATTAATTTCTCCTCCGCTGTCAGCCATTGTGGGTCGAAGAAACAGTATTAAAATCTAAATGCAAATATTTTACCTTGTGCAGGTTGATAAGGACGCTACAGGTGCCGTTTGCTAGCAGGTCGCTGCAAACCCTAGTGTTTGCTAGAGCTGACAATCCAATCAAAGGACGTAAAAATGCCGACAACATTGTACGCCTGCTGGATGGCCCCGGTGTCAATGCAACAGTTTCATTGACATTTATTGCAAGCTACAAGTGCCAACACTTACATTTTTTGAATTTTTTATTTTATATTTTTTGTGCATTCCCTTTTATCTAAAAGTGTTTTATTTTGTTTGTCTCTATCTTCACTTTTGCTGTAACAATGTACATTTTCCCACTGTGGGACGAATAAAGGTATTCTGATTCTGACTGTTGATTCTGAAGGCCTCAGTGCAGATTTATTTGACTTAAATATGATCGGATAAAAGCTCCAACATTTACAACCATTACTGGACGGAGCACAATCGAGTGCAACACAGAGGAAAGCTATACAATGAAGAGAATAGAGTATTAGCAATATTTTAATACATGTTAATGAAAAAACGATATTAGAAGGTTAATCAGTGATTCTGATGGTGTTCAAATAAAAATATTTTTATTTAGTTTCGAGTCTTTCGACAATCCATAAGCAGTGTTTGTCATATAGTAATTGTAGAGTATTCGCATTTGGTCTCTGTTGTCCTTCTGCAGACACCGTACCGGTGGTAGGGATCTACAGGCGTGGTTCGTGTATTGTGATGATAACAGCCATGTGGATATAATGTTGCTCCGTCACTAATAGGTTATTAAACCAAGTTCTATGATAAACATGACTCGTTTATAAGAACATCAAACATGCAGGTAAAGATGTTGCAGAGCACGACGCCAACCTGAGAAAAGTGCTTAACAGGGTCAGGGAGGTTAATTTAAGGCTTAACCCCCTCAAGTGCAAGTTCAGGCTAAGCCAAGTCGGCTATGTCGGCCATGTTTTCACCAGTGAAGGACTCAAAGCAGATCCTTCCAAAACAAGTGCTATTAGTGAGATGCCAGTGCCAGCAGACGTCCCAGCCTTACAAAGATTTCTGGGGATGGTCAACTACCTTGGAAAGTTCATACCAAACTTCAGCCAGCTGTCAGCTCCACTACGGCAGCTCACACATAAAGACACAGAATGGACATGGCATGAACAGCAGCAGAAAGCTTTTGAAGATTTAAAGAAACGCATGTCTTGCCCACCGGTGTTGCTATACTATGATGTTGACAAGCCAGTGACACTTACCTGTGATGCTTCACAGTACGGACTCGGTGCAGCGTGTTTGCAGGAAGGAAAACCCGTAGCGTATGCTTCGCGTACGCTAACTGAAACGGAAACCAGATATGCTCAAATCGAAAAAGAGCTGTTGGCAGTGGTCTTTGCATGTTCAAAATTCAATGACTATATCTATGGTAAACCAGTCACTATTGAAACAGACCACCAGCCCCTCGTCACCATACTAAAAAAGCCCATACACACAGCACCTGCAAGACTACAAAGAATGATGCTACGACTACAAAAGTACGACATCACTCTTGTGTACAAATGCGGAAAGCAAATGTTCCTGGCTGACACTTTGTCGCGAGCTCCCCGCAGCTCCACAGTTCAGCAAGCTGAAGAAGAGGACAACTTCGACGTAATGACTGTTAACTACATATCTTCCTCTCGCTTAGAAGAGTTAGAGAGGCACACCGCTGAAGACATGACTCTGCAAACACTCAGCACCACTGTCAGACACGGGTGGCCCGCTAAACAGCATAATCTTCCACATGCCATTAGACCGTATTTTCCTTTCAGAGACGAACTGATTGTTGAAAATGGAGTCATAATGAAGGGTCACAAAGCAGTTATTCCTCTGTCACTACAGAAAGAATACATCAGCATCATGCACAGAGGACATCCTGGTGAAGAAGCTACAAAGCGGAGAGCATGTGGCATTGTTTTCTGGCCAAATATGACAGACAACATTCACACAGAAATACAGTCATGCTCTGTATGTAACAGCACAAAACCACACCAGCAGAAAGAACCACTCCATCTGCATCCAGTTCCAGACCTGCCGTGGTCAACTGTAGCAACTGACATCTTTGAGTGGCACAATCAGCAATACTTAGTGCTAGTGGACTCATACTCAGGCTGGTATGAGATAGACATGCTTCGTGATATCACTGCAGCAACAGTCATTGCAAAGCTGAAAAGACATTTCTCAGTTCATGGAGCACCTCACACACTCATGTCAGACAATGGAAGGCAGTTTACTAGCCAGCGCTTTAAAGACTTTGCCTCACAGTGGGACTTCACTCATATTACCAGCAGCCCTGAGTATCCCCAGTCCAACGGGCTAGCTGAACGGGCTGTGCGCAGTGCGAAGCAGCTCATGGAGAAATCTCATAGAGATGGAACTGATGTTTTTCTTAACCTATTAAACATCAGGAATGTACCACGTGACACAAAATTAGGATCTCCTGCACAGAGACTGATGTCGAGACAAACACGTACAACACTCCCAGTCTCGGTGAAGCTGCTTGAGCCAGATATGCGTCACCCACAAGAGGTAAAAGCCCAGCTTCTAAACAAGAGGTTGTATCAAAAACAGTGCTATGATAAGTCAAGCCGACCACTACAACCTTTGATGGAAGGACAGGTTGTTAGGATGCAGACCCCACAAGGTTACAACAGGACTGGAATGATTCAAGAGATCTGCAAGGAACCCCGGTCGTACGTCGTCCACTCAGAGGGGAAGCTGTACAGAAGGAATCGTAGGCACATTCTGCCTGTAGATGAGCCGGTCCCGTCACGCACCTCTACAAGTGACACCGATCATCAAGACACAGGACTTGAGTTTACAGATTGTGACACACACACACAGGAATCACTGAACAGTGAACACATGAGGGCTGATGTTCCCACAGCTAAACTGCTGTCAGACACTCCCGAGAGTGTCTACAGGACACGCTCAGGCCGTGCTATCAAGCCTAATCCCAAATACAGAGACTGAAGCTTTGTCATGTATGCACAAGCATACCACTCTGAGAACAATGACTCTAAACTGTTAGTTCACACAGTAATGCCATATTGAGACTTAAAGTTTTGTTTCACAGTGCAAATGTACTCTATTTTAGTAATCTACTTTGTTACTGTAGTAATTACTGAGTTAATTGCTACACTCATTCTTTGAGATTGTGTAGTGTTCATCAGTTGCTAAATGCACACATAGTTTGATAATGTGTACATTCGCAGCATTTTGTATGTTCTGTCATATGTGTTCAGTATAACAGTTTTGTTCATTACTGTAGGAAGAGCTAAAGAAAGGGGATGTAGAGTATTCGCATTTGGTCTCTGTTGTCCTTCTGCAGACACCGTACCGGTGGTAGGGATCTACAGGCGTGGTTCGTGTATTGTGATGATAACAGCCATGTGGATATAATGTTGCTCCGTCACTAATAGGTTATTAAACCAAGTTCTATGATAAACATGACTCGTTTATAAGAACATCAAACAGTAATGGTAAACTTAATATATGCCAATACAAATGAGCCATTGGTCTGTGCTGATTGTATGTACAAAAAACACATACAAGAAAAACACAAACAAACAATAACAACGACTAAAGTAATCCCCTACATTCACTGCCAGTGATCCTTATACACACAAATATATGCCAGACATATTGTTGGATGAGTATATGTGCATGTAAAACAAATGCATATACACACATGCATATACACACATGCAACCTACACATATACATACATACATACATACATACATATGCTGCACTTAAGCTAAACCAATAACAGAATGATTTACAGAGTTTGGAATGCATGTATAAAAGGTCCCCAGGCTTCCTGAAATGTGCTGTTTGAGTATAGAAGTGAGTAACTGATCTTTTCAAGTTTCATACAGGACATAACATCTGTCAACCACTGTAGATGAGTGGGCGGGAAACTGTCTATCCATCTAAGCAGGATGGCTCGACGAGCTAAGAGGAGAGCAAAGGACAGAGATCGCCGCCGTTGTGCAGTTAAACACATCTCCTTTCCTGTTACCCCAAATAGGGTAGCCAGAGGATTTGGATCCAGTTCAATACTTAACACTTGGGATAGAGTTTGGAAAATCTCCGTCCACTACATGCTTAGGCGGGGACAGGACCAGTACATATGAATGAGAGAGGCTTCATTATTTTGGCATTTATCAAAGCAGGGACTAACATCAGGATACATTTTGGATAGTTTGACTTTTGAAATATGAGCTATATGTACCACTTTGAACTGAATTAAGCAGTGACACGCACATAGAGAAGTTGAATTAACCAGTTTAAGTATATAAGTCCATTTATCTACTGGAAGGGGAAGGCCCATATCCGTCTCCCATGCTGCCCTGAGCTTAACTGTGGAGAGACACCTTAGATCTGACATCTTGTTATATGGGTTTAAGGAGAGAACGGTATCAACAATGGTTGCATCGGTAGATATAGAAAGGCTGGGTGATTGAGAGAGCATATAATGCCTTGCCTGTAAAAAGGCAAGGCAAAAAAAAGATTTCCTGCTCAACTGCTCGAATGATGCCAGAGTGTTATCTATGAAAAGACCTTTAAAACTAGTGACTCCTTTCCTGTGCCATTCTAAAAAGCCACAATCCAAAACGGATGGTTTAAATTAGTCATTTTTTGTTATGAGACTCAGATGAGAAAAGTCTGGCAGGCCAAAGTACCTCCTAAATTGAGCCCATATCCTTAGTGTTTAACCACCGGGTTTCTGATAGATTTGATTGATAGTGGAAGTTTGGATCCAAGCAGTGCAGGAATAGATATATTACCCTCTGAGTGCAATTCCATGGCCACCCAGTTTGGGGGATCGAGGTGGCCGTGGAAGTGAGACCAAAATGCAAAGCGATGCAGATTAGTTGACCAGTAGTAAAAACAGAAGTTGGGAAGGGCCATACCACCATTGGCTTTGTTTTTTTGCAGGTGGGCCTTGTTGAGACGGGGACGCTTACCCTGCCATATATAGGAAATAAGAGAATGAAAAATGATCTAGGGATAAAAAGCGGTAGGGCCTGAAAAAGATAAAGAAATGGAGGTAGGATGGTCATTTTGATTGAGTTGACACGGCCTACAAGGGACATTGACAGAGGTGACCACTGTGTCAGTGTTTGTTTTACCTGATTTAAGAGAACCAGCAAGTTTTCTCTGAATAGGTATTTGTATTTCCTTGTAACTGATACACCCAAATAAGAAAGTTTGTAGCTTTCAATTTTAAAAGGCAGGTAGGTGAAGTTCAAGGTTTGTGCTTTGTCATTGATAGGAAAGAGCTCGCTTTTGTGAAGGTTTAATTGGTATCCTGACAGGTGACCAAATTGACTGAGCAGTGTCTGATAGTGTTTAGCCCAGCAGAGAAAGCCTTGCTGGCCCTGACGGCCCACATGGTAATGCATGAGCAAATATACTGTATATGCCTTTTAGTGTTGTCAAAAAGTGCATCTCATAAATCTACAGTATATTTATCATATCCTCCTTGGATAGCTTAAACTTAAATGTAATCCATTGTTATTTATTTATTACCTTCCATATTAATCTGTACTTTTCTGTTGTTGTGCTGCTGCTGCAACAACAACAACTGAGTTTCACCCCTGGTGATCAAAATATGTTCATCTTATATTTGTTAAGTGATTCCTTGTTTTCATACTTCCTGTTTGTTTGAAAGATGAACAATAGGACATTTGTTTCGTGATAATGACTCATACATTCACATGTTTCTTTGTACGTGTACTTACAGTAAAGAGATGAATTTCCTTCCTGGTAAATATACATTTCAGTTTAATTCTTCTTGAGTAGCATTCCATTAATACAATGTGTTGTGACAGCTGAGGTTTACAGATATGTGTCCATCCTCTGACACACTCTCACAGCTTTCTATAAAGCGTGAGGATCTGAGAACCTGCTGCATCGAGCATCACAGTCAGCTACAGCAGGTAAGCTCCACTGATCCTCTTCTCAGTATTTTTGTTCTTGTAAATAATTTAGAACGTATGTATACCAAACCTTTTCCTTGACCACCAAACACTTTTCAGATTTTGACTTTCAGATTTGAGGTTTATCTGCAGAGGACCACCGTCATGACTCCAGTTTTGCTTTTCGTCCTCTTCATCTCTTTGTCGGCCATTCCTCCGGTAAGTCTGACTCTTTCATGTTAACACAAACAATTGTTGTGGGATTGACAAACATAATGTTTATTTTTTATTTATAGAAAAAAGGGCATACATTATTTTATTTGTATGAATAACATTGAAGAAAAATAACATATTTTTTATATTTATAATGTTGTTCATTCGTTTTGCAGGGTGCTACTGATAACGGAGAAAAACGTGAGTTGAAAATGAAGAATTGACTGTATATTGACATTTGTTTTCTTCTTAGTTTCTCTTGATTCACATCTGACTTTTAAATGTTCTGGTATAATTTGTTTTCTCTGTTGTTTCAGAAGAGTCTTTGGATGCCTCTGACATCATCGAGAGAGCTAATGCTAACATAAGTAAGAAAGGTTTTATATTTTCCATCCAAAATCCCCAAAACATGATGGCAAAAACACAATGAGACTTGCTGTAGATATCATCTCTGTTTCTCAAAGTCGAACAACAGAAAACGAGTTGTAAAAAGTTACCATTGCAGACATTTATTATAAAGGATTTCCCCCAAACATCTGTTTGTTTCAGCTTGTTTAATATGAGGACATTTTACATGTTTTCATTGTTGGTCAGACATGCTTGTGAGATTTGTAACTTGTTAAAATGTTTTTTTTAAAGGGAAAACAAACCTTAGCCTCAGCCCATTGGTCAATTTCGATGACATTTGTGAAACTCCAGACTCCTGGTACGGATATTCATGAACATGTCTGTTCTACTTATTGTTCTGCAGCAACGCGCCTGGTCGACGGCGACATTGTTCAAAGTTTGGCAAGGAATGCAGTTGCCTGCACGGCTAGAGGCTGCAAATGGCCCAAAAGAAGATACGTCTACGTACCCATCTACATCTCCCGCAGATACAGTAAATTCACTTTTGAGCCCTAAAATGTAATCTAAATGTGAGATGTTATGCTGGAAGGCAGACCAGGTTTGGCGAGAACACTGCTCAGCACCCTGTTCTTTGTTTCTGCAGCCAGATCAGAGCGCAACATCATCATCCGAGCCCTGCTGACCTTCCACACATCCACCTGCATTCGCTTTGTCTGGAGGAGGAGTCATCGAAATTACCTCCACTTCTTCTCTGGATCTGGGTAAGAACACTCAAAGTAAAACAATTAAATCTCATTATTCTGTGATTACATTTGAACTTTCTAAGTCTGAATCCATTTCTGTTTGGTTGGTCGTGATCTTGCTTCATGTCAGTGTTGAAGAAAATCATACTTAAGTACGTCAGAACAGCATTTTATCATTGTTGCTGCTCGTGGGGGGTTTAATTTAAATTCTTTATATACGTACAGGGTGACCAGATATTACATTTAGTTGCTTGTACTTGATTGATGGGAGAGGAAAAAAGAAGAAACCGATTCTGAGCTCAAAGTGAATCATTTTACAACATTTCAAGTTTCCTGATAGTTATTATACAACCTATTAATAATGTTTTTCGAGGCTGTATGTTCAGCTTAATTAACAACAGTGTTAATGAGAAAGATTTGGATCACACACGAGTGCTGATTTAATGTTAAGTACAGTTAATTGCGTTGACTGCAAAAAAAATGTGAGGTGTTGCGTTATCATGGATTCATTTTCTTTTTAAGTTGATTATGGGATAGGTTTAGCATTAAAATGACTGGAAACAATTAGCCAGTAAGTTACTTTAAGTCAAATGGATATATATTCCATTTTACTGAAGAACTTAAGAGAGTTGTTGAACTATTGTTAAATCACAGCATGCTTTAACAACGTATTTGTTGTAATAATAGAGTATTAATAGTAATAAAATAGTTTATGGAATCTAGTAAAGCTATCATAAACGAGCCAGCTGATGGATCACGTGCCACTTGTTTGGCAGGTTATATCATTTTGCATTGTTATCTATGAAGAGCCCATTATTTCAGCTTCCTTATTGGCAGTGGTGGAAGAAGTATTCAGATCCTTTACTTCACAAGAAGTACTCATACTGTACTTTAATTCCTGCATTAAAATAAGTAAACCTATCTAAGTATTATAAAACAGATAAAATATAATAATGATATGTGAAACATGACCAATAAAAAGTATTCAGTGTGTTAAGATCTATATACTCAGAGTATGTACGACTACCTTCTATCTGAGTACAGTTCTTAAGTACTGTAATATAGTATCAGTTGTAGAAAACTGAGAATTCCTTTTTAAAACTTAATAGTACTTGAAGCGAGAAATGTATGAACAACATCTATTCTTACTGGGTTTTTCTTCCCCCTCTCTCTCTGTGTGTGTGTGTATGTGTATGTGTATGTGTATGTGTATGTGTATGTGTATGTGTATGTGTGTGTGTGTGTGTGTGTGTGTGTGTGTGTGTGTGTGTGTGTGTGTGTGTGTGTGTGTGTGTGTGTGTGTGTGTGTGTGTGTGTGTGTGTGTGTGTGTGAGACAGGTGCTGGTCCTACCTGGGACGACAGAGTAGAGGACAGGCTATCTCCCTGAGGAAAAATGGTTGTTTGTACACATCCACAGTGCAGCACGAGGTTCTCCACGCTCTGGGCTTCGCTCACGAGCAAGTCCGCTCCGACAGAGACAGCTACGTCTCCATCCTCACCCAGAACATTAAGCCAGGTCAGCTCACACACAAACGCTCTTCTTCACAGTCCTGGTTGTCTCATATCTTATACAAAAACACAGGGGTGAGGGGTGAGTTTAAAGTTTATGCCTCTTCAATGAAAATTCACCAACGTCAGAGTCATAGCCATGATAGCAGCTCTGGGGGGTCTTTCCCATTTCGCAGTTTGCACATCCTCCATCCCCCTTGACAAGACCCTGTCTTGCGTTTAGTGTTTGTGCATGACATCTGATCTGAGAAGTTGACATGAGTTGAACAATATCATTTTTGAAATAAATAACTTTTAAATCTGCCTCTTGAGAGCTCTGAAGTGACAAAAACTCCAAACCCCATATGTCTTTCCTCAGAGAAGCCGCTGCACATCGTTAGATAAACTGCCATGCCATCCACATCTCTGACCCAAAACAATCAAAAATCATACAAATCGTTCGTTAGGGAGGGACTTTTAAATGAAGCATCCATGGACTCTCCCCTCACTGATTACTCAATGTCTCCATGGAAACCTTTGATCTTTCCACGCAGAGCAGACACGGGTGATTTGATTACCGATACTCAGCACAAAAAATGACACACTGAATGGATTTTAAAAGACTGTCTCAGCCTATTCTATACTGTCTCATTGAAACTTCATTCATTCAGAAATGTTCAACATTTTATTATTGGCAATTCAGGATTTTAGCTGATATGGTTGCAATTAAAATGTACTGCAGCTTTTTCATGGATTTTTAACTTTTTTTGTCCATATTAAGTTAAAATACAATTAAAAAATATAAATCTGTATTGATTGATGCATTCAGACTTAAAATATTTCATCTTTTTCATACATTGGGAGTTTTATGTAACTTTTTTATATAATGTGTATTATTCAAATTTCTATGACATTCATTAGTATGAAACCCATTCCCTATTATCCAAATATTACTGTTTCTTCACCTTTCTATTACATATTCAAGCAAGCATTGCAGTTGATTCCCACCACAATTACATTCTCTAGTTTAAATATATTATCTGTGAATCTTGTGCCAATCGATCTTATAGATGTTGAGATATTTGAATGGACCATGAATGTCCATATCAAATCCATCCAATAGTAACTAATAGATTAAAATGGTTGGCTGTCTACCAGTATGCTTTTAAGCAAGCATTGTTTTCACATTTTCAATCCACTGTTATGTAATGGCAATAATGTAAACGCTGTTGTTAATTATTTTTCTCTCTTGTTCTCTCTTCGTGTGCAGGACAAAAACATAACTTTTTGAAGCGGCAAACCAACAACTTCGGTACTCCCTACGACTTCAACTCTGTCATGCACTACAGCAAGTGAGTGTTTGTGTGAGTGTATGTCAGTCAATATTAGTCAACATTAGTCAACATTATTTGTGAGTCAGAAGGAAGTGTTTGTGTGCTTGTGATGTGTGTGTGCAGCACTGTTTGCCAAACATGTTGTCTTCTTTTGATCCTCAAGATACGCCTTCAGCAAGAATGGACAACCAACCATCCTCGCTAAGAGCAATCCGAGTCGTAACTTTGGGAATGCTCGTACGATGAGCAATATTGACATCGCTCTTGTCAACCGGCTTTACCAATGTTAATGTAAGTGGGAAAATAATTCTATATTCTCCAATACTCGAAAACCTAAACATAGCAGATACATTCAACTACTAATATAGCTGTAACAGCAGAACTAGAAAAACATAGGGTCGAAATATTGTTTATCTGAATCTCATTGTTTTTTCCCTCACCAGAAACGGGAAAGGGTCGGCCTCCAGATACTTCAACTCCTGGCTTTTCATGATTCATCCGAAGGTCCAGATCTGTTGTTTATCACTGGCTAGCTTTCTGCTGAGGTCAATCAATCTAGATGGCTCAGCCTTTCTTTAAATCATTTGTTATTGGGTTTAAATCATTTAGTCACTATATTGATTTTAAAATATACTCTTTATGATATGGTTATGGTTTTATACTTAGTGGGCCAAAGACACATTCAATTGTTACTGATGTGTCTAGGAGAAGAAAAATGAAAACAATTTAAACAATCAATTTATCATAGAAACAATGACAAAAAACACATTGATGTAATGTAATTGCTGATTGATACTGATGATTTCAATGACTTTGTATTATTCTTTGAACTGAAGTTATTCATTTGTTGATTAAAGTTTCTGGGGAAAAAAACGTGACTTTGTATTTCTTTAAATTAGAAAAAAAGCTGCAATTAATCTCACATTGAGTCCGTAACTATGATTTAAATGCACAATGTTTTTGTAGGTTTCATCATACTAAGTGCATTAACAGAAAGAATGCATTTTTTTTAAAGCATTGGTGGGATAAATACTCAGATACATTCTTAAAAACATATGACAAGTAATTGTTCTGTATTCAATAACCAAGTTAAGTAAAAGGATTATCAGGAAATGTACTTTAGGCATCAAATATTTAAAGGGGACCTATCATGCAAAATGCACTTGTGTACGTCTTTTATACATGAATATGTGTCCCCGGTGTTGCAGGGAACTCACCAAGTGTCAGAAAACACAACCCTCTCTATTTTCCTCCATACCCAAATCTCTAAAAAAGGGGCTGCAACGGATCTGATAAAAACTGATCCAGATTTGAACACTGTCCTGACGTCAGGACAGTGGCGCTACGGCTATTGGGCCAACTCCACCAATCAGGAGGAGACAGCCACGGCCATTGCCATTCGAAAGCGCTGGAGACGCTGTAGTACATATGCCAGGCCAGTAGATGGTGCTGTTCTCACTGAATCTGCCCAGAGCTAGAAATTGTCAAATTGAGCAAAATGAGGCATGGCTAAAATGCATGATCTGTTTGGTATTTTGAAAAAAAAAAAGTATAAATATGCCTTATATAGGTATGGTCCTACACTATATTATTCAAATATAGCATGATAGGTCCACTTTAAGTTTTAGAACCTCCGACTGATGTATCATATATTAGCCCATTAAGGATGCTTGAAATTAAGCTAGTTTAAACTTATATTTATACATAAGCTTGTTTAGTCCAGTGGTTCCCATCCTAGGGGTTAAGGACAGGTCCTTAAATCCTTAATGGGAGAGAATTGTATGTTGCAATTGTAAAATATTGGGTCATTTCTTCGTCTTTCAGCCTCTTAAAGTTATTTAACCATTTCCTAATAAACTGTGTAACAATCCAAGATTGAGAAACACTGGTTTCAACAATGCACAATATTTTTTGAAAATTGTAATACGTTTTATTTTACATGTTAATCTGAGAAGCATCTTATTGTAATTTATAAGTAGTAACTAATAGAATAGAAGTAGAAAACATAGAAAACACAAATACTCAGTCAATACTACGTTTCTCAGTCACACATTTCCCAAAAGATCTCCTGCTTGTTCACTCACTTTTTGCTCTGGCATTTCACCAAATCCTTTGTCACCTGCTTATAGACAGGACTGCGACAAACTGGTGTTAGGAATAGCATCCACGAGCACGTGCTCTGACAGCATGCAGTCAGCGTGTCTGTGCACATATCTTAATTAGACTTGTAGTCTTAATGTAGTGATGTCATGTCTATCAGTGGGTTAGTTGTGCATCTTTCACTTTTGTTAATCCAAAACTAACTTGCACTGAAAGTACTTGGTTTGGTTCAAGTTTGCCAAAAAAATGTAAATATGGAACATTTGTCATGGTCAGACTATTGGCTAAAAATAAACTTTACCTGGGAGGCTGAGTAAGGTGATGCTTCTGTATTTGGCCCACTCTCTGGTCCCCCTATTTGAACAGGGGAACCACCACCCCGATCTGCCACTCTTTTGGTACTGGCCCCAAATTCAACGCAATGTTGATGAGATGTGTCAAACGTGACAGTTCCCTAAACACCCAGAGCATTCAGCATTTCTGGACGTCTCATCAATCCCGGGGGGTTTGCCACTGTGGGGTTGTTAAACAACCTCATTGACCTCCTCCAGGGAGCTTGATCTTGATCCTCTATCAACCCCCAGCTCTGCCTCTACCTTAGAGTTCCCCAAAGTGTTTCATCCACCGCCCATCACCCCATCAGTTGAGGTCAACAGTGTTCAAGCCTCTCTTCACCGGAGTGTCCAAGACATAATGGCCTCAGGTCCAATGATACAATAACAAAATTGATTCTCAACCTTCTGCCTTAGGTGCCCTCGTACCATGTCCACTTGGCAAGCACAGAAGTCGAATAACAAGCCACCACTCAGGTCAGATCAGGGAGGCCATTCCTCCTGATAATGCCCCTCCAAGTGTTTCCATTATTGCCCACATGTGCGTTGAAGTCTCCTAGCAAGACTAAGGAGTCCCCTTCACAAGCCCCGTACAGGACTCTGTTCAGAGTCTCCAAGAAGGCAGACAACTCAGAATACTAGCCCCCCCCAACCCCATAACCCGCAGACATAGAGAGGCAACCCTCTTATCCACTGGGGTAACTCCAACTTAGCCCGCTCTTTGCCAGGGACTTTTGAGTATCCCAACACCTGCAGGCGCATCACATCTTGGTCAACTCCGGAGAAGAATAAAGTCCAACCCCTATCCAGGTGGAAGGTTCCAGAGTCGAGGCTGTGCATGGTTGTGAGCCCCACCAGAACAAACTGGTAACACTCTACCTCACGCACAAGCTCTGGCTCCTTCCCCCCCAGAGAGGTGGAGTTCCATGTCCCCAAAGCCAGCCTCTGCTGCCAGAGTCTGGTCTGTCGAGACCCTCTTCCTTCACCGACACCCTTCTGGCAGCGCAAACCCAACCCCATCAGTTTGCCCCTAGGTAGTGAGCCTATGGGACAGAGGAGTGGAGGAAGTGTCCCCATAGCTTCTTTGGGCTGTGCCCTGCCTTTCATGGGGTATTTTCTTAAACCATTCTTAGTCCGACAGATAATTTATTATGTTAATATATTCAGTGGCGACTGGTCATTAGGGGCAGGTGGGGCACAGCCCCACCTAGTGTCAGCAGAAAGTATTACACATAATGAAAACAAAAAATGCAAAAAGATGCAAAAAAAGAAATAAAAAAATATATAAAATATATTTTAAGGTCATGTTTAATCATCTGATTCGTCTGTACATTGCTGTGTTAGTCTGTGTTCTTCTAATTAGTGTCTACAGTGCCGTTTTGAGCCATGTGGGACAAAACCTGATTCTGCCCCTCCCTCTCACTGTTTAAGTGAACGGTGACTGTAAAAACTACACTGCGCATGCTCAGAGTATTTTTCAATGGAATGTGTGTGGCAAAAAAAAAAAGGCCAAAGGGGCACGGAGCTGCCATCCCCACCATACGTCAGCTCACATTATTCAGAACTGATTGGCTGTAAATATGTCACGTGTGCAGTGCTGCGAAACGTCACGTGTAGTGTGAAGAGAAGACGAGAGAGCAGCATATAGCTAACATCACCAGCGATTAAAAATAAGTAAAAAACGGAAAGAAAATGAATGAAGTTGACCATTTACTGGAGCACACATTTGAGACACTTAGTCTCGGAGAGAAACTGGAGGTAAAGCGCCTCGGTGCCCACCATCCACCGGATTTCCAAATGGTCCAGACTGCGGGCAAAGTGAACCGCGGGTTTAATGCTGAGTGGTTTGCTAAAAAGAAATGGCTAACGGCGAGCATCCAGAAGAATTCCCTCTTTTGCTTTCCTTGCCTGCTTTTTGGTGAAGATCAAGGTACTTGGTCGAGGACAGGTTACAAGGACTTAAAGCATCTTTCGGAGAGGACAATGAAGCATGAGAGCAGCAACAGTCACTTGGAAAATGCCGTAAAATTGGGATTACTGGGAAGGGTGAATGTTGCAGCTCAGATTGACAGCGCCTACAGACGCGGCATTGATGATCATAATAGAAAGGTGGAAGAAAACAGGTACGTGTTGGGTCGGATCATCACCTGTATTAAACTGTGTGGGAAATGTGAGACAGCACTGCGGGGCCACGACGAGTCGACGGACTCTCTGAATCCAGGGATATTCAGGTCAATTTTCGAGACAATGTGTGAGGGCGATTCCAGGCTTCGACGGCACTACGAAGCTCAGCCCGTTTTCAAAGGGACATCAAGCACCATACAGAATGAACTCTTGGACTGCATGTATGATGTGTACAGGGAGGAAATATCCAAGCAAGTGGACAACACATCATTTGTTGCCGTTCAGGCCGACGAGACAACCGATGTCTCATGTAAATCGCAAATGGTGATTGTGCTGCGATACATTATGCCTGACCTCACAGTTACAGAGCGTTTTTTGGAGTTTGTGGAAGTAAAGGACAAAACTGGTGTAGGTCTCTCTAACAGCATCAAGGCTGTTCTTGAACCCCTGAAGCTGAAAGAAAAGCTAATCGCTCAGACCTATGACGGGGCGGCCGTCATGAGCGGTAACGTGCGCGGGGTACAGACGGTCATGAAGGAGACGTACCCAAACGCTCAGTTTGTTCACTGCTACGCCCACCAACTGAACCTGACCCTGCAGCAACTGTGTTCAGCAAGGATGAGCATCCTGAAGGTGTTTTTTGCAGATCTAACTGCTTTTTCCACTTTTTTCTCCGGTGCTCCAAAACGTGTTGCAGCTCTTGCAGAGGCAACACAGAGACGCATACCACGGCCACCGGCTGTGAGATGGAACTTTAAAAGCAGAACTGTGAACGCGGTTTGGGAGACCCGAGAAGCACTTCTTCAGTGTATGGACCATATACGCACACAACCAGGATGGGATGCGGTCACCATAAGTGAGGCATACGGCCTGTCAAAGAAACTGCGGGACCGAGCATTTATGCAGCTCCTGGAGTTTTTTTCGTTGCTTATGCCAGAAGTGGATGTTTTATACAACACTCTGCAAAAACGAACCATCGATGCACCTGGGATCAACAGCGCGCTCTGCCGCTTCAAGGAAAATGTCCAGAAAATGAGGCAGCAAACTGATGCATTGGCCGCCACCACTCATGATGGAACAGACGAGCCAGGCCGACGAGTCAGCAGCACAGCGCCGGTAATGAAGGAGGCATGTGACACAGTCATCTCACAGGTGGAACAGAGGTTCTCACAGAGTGACCATTTGATCGCTGCAAAGCTCGTTGACAGCTCATTCTTCCCACAGCATGTCCTGTCATTTCCTACACCTGAGCTTGACTGCGCAGTGAAATTGTGGCCTGCTTTGGGAAACAAGGAGAAGTTGAAGTCTGAGCTGACCAC